AATCAACTGCCTCCTCATTTTCACTCAGTACTGATTGTGATGTAATTGTTGGCACGCCTGCGGCTAGACGTTCGGTCACAAACTCTACTTGCGGTCACTTGAGTGGGCACACACTGACGCATCCTACTAACCTGCTCTCTGTGTCAGGTCAAAGGCCACCGTTTCGCTATATTTTGATGAATAAGAACACGTCTTTCCAGCTTTCAGTCATAGAAGCTTTGTGCCGCCAGAATGGGTGAAATGGAAGGAATCATTGCCACAACTGAAACCACAAGAGATGAAGCAAGAGGTGCTGGGCAAGATGCAATAACGCATGCTATCACACATCTCCTCTCGACTCTTCGGTCAAGCATACCACACAATGCGAGCTACTGCCATAACCAGTGAAAATACATGCACAACATCAGATTCTCAGCTTAGCCTATTGAAACGCGTCCTTTTCTCAATAGTCCACACGACTCCACCACTTTCCGTTGCCAGGCTGATCCTAACGTAGACGCAGAGGAGAGCAGTTCGAAGCCACTCATAGCAGCTACAGCATCGGACAACATGGAAATGATGCAGCTCCTCCTCGAGTATGGGGAGTGCACTTACTTCTGTGACCATCATGGCAACATGACTGCTGTCGACCTGCTGTGTCGCTATGACAGCACCGCCAATTTGCAGAACAGGCGCCACCGAGCACCGATCATAGAAGGTCGCAGCCATGGTCACCACGATGTTGTGCAATACCTGCTTCGTGTAGAGCACACTGAGACTGCATCCAAACTGGACGCGTTCATGCCACTACTACTACCACCATTGCTGCTACTCTCATGGCAAGTAATGCACGATCTTTCAGCTCTATCTGCCTCATGCTACTGCAACAAATGTATGCCAATGCGTGACTTCCCCTGTCTTGTCAACACCCTATCATCAAACACCTCCTCATCGTTGTCATCTTGCTTTATCACGCTACCTCCATTGTGCACCTCTATTTCCCCTCCTCTGTCTTCTTTACGTGCAATCGCAAGCCTCTTCATTCCCTCCACTCCCCTCCTACTCTGCCTTCTGCGCTCCCCTCCAAAGAGAGACGAAGGCGACTAAAGCCTTTCAAATTCATTCCAACTTCATGCAGTCCCACACAGTGGGCAAACGAACCACCGTTGACCTTGCTAATGCCATAGTGACTCTTCCCGAATGTGACGCACACCAACGAGAAGTCCCATTTTTATGCAAAATTATCATCACTCCACACATAATTCGACAATGTGCACACAAAAGAGGTTTCAACATTGAAGTAATTCCTTCCTCCTTCGCCGGATTGCTTCATTTAAAACAGCATCGCGACCACAAGCGATGCAATGAAACCTACAACGAGTGGCACGCATTTGATGCTGCAGATGCAGAATGAGGCGCATATTGGGGCACGTTGTACAAGAGGCTGCATACTGGTGCAATGTAGACTACGAGAGGCAACGCGAGCGAACCTACCTCTGTGTTTGAAAATCGTCTCGCATTCGGCGAGATTTGAATAAATAAAGTGGTTAGTTGAATGGATATATGCATTCGTCTCTGTCTGAAGATGTATTGGCCATGAGCCGAGGGAAGTTTGGAGTGGTTGGTTCGTCGACTCACTGGAAGAGGATGTGGCTGGACGAAACGCTGAAAGGAAGAGTTAGTTTCCACTTGCCGCCCAGTAAGTGGCTGCACAATGCTCCCTGCAAACAACTTTGCTAAAACTGTGTTAACTTGAGCTATTGTTGAGTGCTGTGATGTGCGCACGCTCGTTGGAGAATGGTGAAGTGCAATTTGGACTTTGTCTCATACGAACACGGAACTTTTCCATCACGAAACTTACCATTGCATTGCGCGACTTCAGGCGACTCACCTAAGTCAAAACAACACGATCAGTCAATTCGATGGAGCTGGCTCTAGAGTTGCTTTCTGCAAGCTCACACGTCATTTCACATCGACGACTTGGAAGGAAGGAAGGAAGGAAGGAGACACGTACACCGTCATCAGTTTCCATAGCCACTCACCTTCTTGTGTCCAATCCACAGTGACAATTAGCGACCTACTCTTCCCAACCCATCGAAAATTGTTGCATTTCTCCGTGCCTCTTCTTGCGTACTTCAGAGTAAATCTTCGCAGATCCGCCCGACCATCTCTCAACAAATTCTCTTCGACAGTTGTAGGAAGAGAGGATTGACAAACTAAGTAATAATAATAATAATAATAATAGAGGGCAAATACGGTATGCGAACTCTTCATACACTCACGGCAGAAAGGGAAAAAGGAGCGGCTAACCAATGGCACGCTGCATCACAGTCCACAAGAAGGGAAACCTACGGTGGGCAGAGAAAATTAGACTAACGTCGATCACTCTAAAGGCATGCTCAGGTTGCATACCGACTGTTTGCCGTTCGCGAATTCCATTTGAACATGTGAGTGTCCTCGTCGGAACCGAAACAGCGGAAAGGACGTCTTCAAACCAATCTCACTTGGGCGCAAAGCAACAGGTTATGCTGCCTCTTGACTCCGCTTCTTCTCAATGCTCAAGTAATGGCGAGGCGGAGATGTCGCATCAGCCACATGAACTGCAGTGACCACTCCAATAAGCTCATTAGAACAGTCATGAACATGCAAAACCACGCATTCTTCCCATCCCCAACCACTCACCTTCCTCCGGCTTCTCGAACTCACATCTCGGTACGAAGAATATTTTTGTAAACGTCGAACCCTTGTTTAGTATTCGCGATTCCTTCTGTTTCGGCACGTCGTTGAGAGTGATGTTGGCAACGCCTTAATGGACAGCAGTACATTTCATAGCTAAAGCAAAATTTTGCCCTCTAAACTCAGAGTCGCCTTACACGTCTATTCTGCCTTTGTGGTGGCCCCTACAAAGCAGTTCAATTTAAAGCACTCCAGTAATTAATGCGATCTGCGACAATTTAATGCCTCACACTTCACCCCACCCAAACACTCTCGCCTCTTTCCATGCGAAATGGATACTTAAGAAGGGTTGAGCGTGCAATCAAAGCTTTCCCATACCACCGCTTACCTTCACTCACAGAGCAAGGGCGTCCCCATTCTTCCACGCCAACATAACACTTTCCGTTCTTGATGTCGATCAGCTCTATCAAGAAGTTGTGGGTCAACGCCTCTATCGCCTAGAGTAGAATAAAAATGCGCACAGGCGTGAGTCAGACTAATACGCGGCATCACGTGGAGGTAATAGCAAAAATGGTGACACAAAGGAACGCGCTACTGTGTGTGGTGACAATTCGCATCTATTGATGAAAGTGCTTGCACTTAAGCCAACATTGGAGAAACGCAGGTGCAAGAGCGGTGATGGTCCACTGGGTGTCCCGACAACGCAAGAACCCAACATCAGCGGATCCGATCCTGCTTCTTAAAAATGCACAAGGTTTTGAGACTTTGGCTGATGGTTCGTATAAATGGTGTTTTATGATGGAAAATGCAAATGTTCGCAATCCATGTTGCTTTTGCCTTGAAATCATCTGACGAAAGCAAACCCCAACGTAGTGAAAGCCCTTCCACCATATGTCATTTCATGCTACATATTGAAAGCCATTTAAGTTATACTAGTGACATGAGCAAGGTATCGCGCCACTCTCACATCAGAGCTTAGAAAAACAGGTAGAACCACCAGTCTCCCACCCTGTCTAATGCTGTAGCCCCTACGAGTGAGTGCAGTAGGCCATGGAGGACGGAGGCTTATTTAGCTAGCAATGAAGACACACGAAGGAGAAGTGATGAGAGCATACCCAAACAGTAGGCCACGAGAACCAGAAAGACGCAACCTCTCAGCATAAAGAAAGGTTCATGTCAAGCCAAGTGTCTTGTGCATATTTATATGCTCTTCATTACGGATGGACGGGTAAATAGGTGAAGGTGCGATGGCAACAGTAAATGAAAGATTATGGCAACTTATTGGCATCAAACGTAGCTGTGCCAGCGAGCCATTAGTGTGAGAAATGTGCACAGAGCATGACCTTACAATGCAGCGATGCGCAAAATGCAAAAGGCGCCAATTCAACAAATACATTCAAAATTAAAGCCGAGAAAGTAAGAATTTTCTGTGCTATGTGTGTAGTAATGACAGTTTTGTGAAAAAAATTGGAACTTCCCGTTGCTGTCCATCGCATTTGAGAAGAGTCACTATTACACTAGCAAGGCCAACGGTGGTTCGTTTACCACTGTGTAGAGTCGCAAGTAGTTGCAATGAATTTGAAAGGCTTCAGTTCCCATCGTTGCTCTTTGGAGGAGGATGCGGAAGGCAGAGGAGGAGGAGAGTGGAGGGAATGAAGTGGCTTGAGTATGCATGTAAATTAGACAGAATGGCGCAAAATTGAGGTGCAAAATGGAGGTAGCGTGATAAAGCAAGATAACAACGATGATGAGGTGTTAACCAGAGGGGGAAAGTCACGCATTGCCTAAATTGTCTTCACAATCGTCCATAACATTCCTGCTTAATTACAACACACATTCGCCACTTGTTGGCATGATTTAACCGACTGAGTCCTGAGCCATCGTCGAAGTGTTGCCAGCTTGAATTGATTGATTGAGTGTTTGCTCAGCTGAACTGCAGAAATAGGGAAGAATTGGCAACGAAACAGTGCCAACTGAATAAAAATTTAAGGAGACTGTGACAGCGTTCGGCTGACATGAAACTGTCACTTGGTTCGCATTGCTAGCTATGCCAGTTATAGCGCATTTTGTTACTTGTTGAACGCCTTGAACTCCTAGTTGAGGAGCAGTTGCTTGCCCTTTGTTTATGCTCGCAGTGGACTCAGTTAAACGTGGTCAACTCATTATTTTTATTGCTGCTGTATGACAACGTGCAGCTACGAGAAGGAGGAAGAAGGAAAGTGTGAGGTTGTTGATGGAAAGATGGAGCGAAGTGTGGGTGGAAAGGGAAGGCGATGAGGTCAATTAGCGTGAGACAAGTAGTGCTAGCGGCCATCTGCGCCTCCTTCTACCCACTTCTCCTCATCCTCCTTCACGTCGACTCTATTTCCATGGTCTGATTTTTCTCTCTATCTCGCATTATGTTGACCATGCTATTGAACATGCGACTCAGTTATGGAGGGCCTGTACATCCCCTACCTGAAGGAGAGTTAGGGCAGACTTGGGGTCTCAGTGATTATGGAATGAGTTGCCTTGACTGCACCTCAACTAAGCTCTTCATAATTGAGTGCTGCGCGTCTTGGAGAGATGTTGAGTGAGGGCGGAGCGAATCAGGATCGGCGCACACTGTGAACCACCGCTCTCTTTGCAATGTCCATCAACTCGAGAGTCAACTGAGATTAGTGAAAGAAGGGGAAAAGGAAAGGAAAGCCGACAAAGTCGCCAAAACACAAATGGTTGACAAGGTAGACTATGACGACATCACTTAGTGGGGAGGGGAATCAATCAAGATGAAGGCAAATAGTTGCATGTTAAGAATAAATAAGCTCAAGTAAGGGTTTGGCAAAATAAATTACAAAACGTCAATCCGAAGCGAATGAGTGGAGGTAG